ACCTATAATATATCAAAATTGGTGGATTTCATCGGGTAGTTTAGAGCGTAATTGTAGCACGTTGCTGACCAATATGTTTTTGGCCACGTGGGCACGTCTTTCATCCCAGCAATGCTCTAGAAGAAATAAAACATTCATGCTAAATAAAATTTCCCCAGCTGTTTTCAGGACTTTATTCGTCCTTTAACTATATTAACGGTCCTGAACCCACCATCTCATGTAAAAAAGTGAACCAGATGGCCTGATGATTGGTTGAGCGTCCTGAGAACTTGGGTTCAGTTGGTCCCTTTTTCCCCACTAATAAGATGTCTAGGCTTTGGCATTATCCCAACCCTCGTGCCTCGTTCGGGTGGCATGACAACTAGGCACTGAAACGGGGTGTTACAGATGAACAATTTTCATTTTGCAATGAGTGTGGCCTTTAGTTGATGCATGTATTGCGCCCAGCAATGTCATGAGTGTTTGCTTTTCAACATATTTGCCTATGAGTACATCCTAAAATGGAGGCTTGTGCCTACCTTGAAGCACAAAAATCTATAGGTTATGTGGTCGAATTTCAAAAGGATAGTAAGATAGTGGAGAAAAATATAGCTGGTTATACGGTGCCGGAGCCAATTGCATCCTACAAAAAATTCCAACAATAGGCTCGTTGAGAATCCTGTTCTTTAATTCCTAGACTGACAGATTTTTACACTACGAAAATCATAGTAGCCAGTTAGGTACCGGGTTACGTACCAGGTGCTCTAATCTGTAGTCTTTGATGCCTAGGATCTTGCAGGTGCAACGACAGCTGAGCAAATCCTAGAAGAACGTAACGAAAGGGAGCTTACCAAGAGGATTGGACTTCATTCACTGCAGAGGTTGTGGCTCAGGCATTATAGACATCCTTACGTACACATATCTTCAACATTGTGGGTCCGTGTGACCTTCAGCATAGGTCGCCATAGTTGCCATAGGGCTATAGTTACATACCGCAACAAAAAGAGTGCCTCAGCAACATATGTTCCTACCAAGAAAGTTAACAAATCATGCGTAGAAGCTGCTGAAGTCGTCATGGTCGTTGGCCTCATCTTAACTGCGATAAGGTAATGCGGTTTAAGAGAAGTTTTTTGTTCCCAGACTTTCATAACTGACATACTGAATATGGTTATTTTTCCCTCCGTCCATATTTTGCTCCATTGGTTACTTTTCTTAACTTTTGACGTTCATTCACATTTTGCCAGTAAAATGAGTGAGATAAAACTGTGGAGGTAAAGTAAGGTAGCACAGAATAGAACAAACTTAGTTGTTATTTCAGAAACTGTAACTGATACCCTGTTTCGTTTGATAAGTTGTGATTCTGAAAAAGAATAAGACGAATCTTAAAGATCTGGTCCTATATAGTCCAAAAACCACCAGGTCTTCTGCTGGTAATCGTCCTTTTAAGGAATGCTCAATGGAACATACTCATTGAACTTTTGTTTTACTGTTTTTTGCCCAAGTTGCTCTGCTTGTTGGTATGTTCTCCACTAGGGTCAGAGATTTCACCTACAAGTCCAGCCTATCCTGAATAAGAACAGCCAGAAATTTTTCGACAGTCGGCTTTATCCCCAAGGATAACTTACTACGAATCATAGTGCAGTGAAGAAATGGCCAACGGCAATTCGTGGAGGCAAGAAATGTGCTAGTGTTGGCCTTGGCATTGAAGTTAAACGGAGTCGACCAAGCTGCCGAAGGTTTTGTGCTCCATTTGACTAACCCAATGAATAGTTCTCATTTAGTTGGTTGACCAATATGTCACTTCGATTACTTCAATTCTACTGGATGATTGTGTGTCATCCCAAGACTTGAATTTTTAGCATGAATTTCCGTTTCTTCACCATTTCGGAACATGTAAGACCTGTGTTAATTTTCAACCAATCACGGCCCGCCTCGTGCTCACGGGTATTTGCTCAAACTGAGGTTGTTTGCCAAGCCTTTCTAAACGGGCTTGCGTTACATTTTATTAGTGCTGCTATGTTACGCATATTTTCCGTCTGACAGTTGTCTCGCATAATTTAAAAAGGCAAACATCACCTTTATACGATTGTGATATGACCTGGTCAATGAATTACACATAGTGTAAACATAGGAGTTCAGAAAACCAGTGGACTGCAGTAAGTTTGGTCAGCAACGTCAGGCAGTAAAATTGTCTCACTAATTGGAGAATCAATTATTATTTGGTACTAGGGTCATAATGCAAGGTAAGTTGAAGGGCCATCGCGTGACCAGTGCAATCACATGACAAAGCATAGTTAGGTGCTAAGAGCATCGGGAAATTAAAGAGTGGTGTGAAACAATGCACTCACCCGACTGAGAAGCTTTCACACATTCGACTATCTATTCAAATCACTCAGAGTTTAAAAGGGTTACAAATCCGTGAACCACTACAACCGACATACAATTTAATGTTGTGTATCTGAAAGGCATTTCAGTAACTATCAGATGGTTGAAACCAAATTAAAGGACAAGAAGCCTGTCTATGAATCCTTTAGTTTAATTTGCTCACTCGTTTGTGAATGCATCAAAAACTGAGATGTGAGACAATGTACCCATTCATAAGCGTTGCCACATGCACCATTCTGCAAGTGTCCGAGTAAACTGAACCACCTGACTTGTGCGACCACAGCTCAACAGATCCACAGAGCTCACTGAATCAATCCGGTCTAAATGCTGAACGTGACTGTGAGGCACCACCATGTCATCCAAACTCTGTCCAAAAAAAGCGCTAACAATGGCTGGCATCAATTACAAGTTGAGTTCGAAAAACGACTTTGTCACCAAGAGTGTCACTTGCCATGGTTCATCAATCTCTTGGTCCAAGTGATCTTATTACTTAATCACAAGCGGCTTTTCAGTTTGTAGAATGACAACAATAAATCGGGCTAAGTGTTAATTTTATTACGAAATATTTTAAACAGTTTCATTACGTGTGCATCCAGTCGCTTGACAAGACTACATCACAATCATGTGATGGAAATGTGTAGGTCTGGTTATAAATATATATATATATCATATAATATATATATGTCCGTGCCTGGCGAAAAAATACCGGAAACGTGCGCATCAATTCGCGTGCAATGTTTCAATTTATAGCATGAAAATCTTTCAAGCACCCTCCCAGAGTATTAGCCAGTCATGTGACGTTTGACTGGGTTAAACTACACAGGTATCTCCATTGCTATTTTGCCCTCACTGTGCCACTATTTTTGGGCGTGGTTTCAGTGGAAAAGGAAAAAGAAGCGTGCAGCCAACATTCCCCTATATTGGAGATTATTACTCGAGACAGACCGAAAAAGTCAAACTATTCGGAGCAGCTTCTTCAAAACAGAAAATGAACGAGATTTTATTTACAGATGTGGGGCTTTAGAAATTTTCAAAACTTGGAGAGTTATGAAAATTCACATCCCCATTTGCAATTAACAAAGTGAGGTACCCGATGAAGCTTCCGTTGCTACTCTACCGTTGACGATGATGGTGATGATAACAGTGCCCATGATGATAATGAGGGGACAAACGTGCACGAAAAAAATATATTTTTGTATATGTAGGGCAACACATTATTTAATTTCTAAGTTTTCACTGAATTGGTTAGCGTGATATTTACCCGTGGACGTCGGAAAGTAGGAGGCATCACATAAACAATGAAGGTGGCCATGTTGGAACTAATTTTACTGAGTGTGCCGTATGTTTATTTCATTGCAAAATTCTCCAAACGACTCACGAGAATATGGGATTAGAATATTGAGAGGACCAGACACAATTCACAGATGATCGTTTGAAAATATTTCAACGTGGTCCAACCGCGAAGCATCTTTTGATAGGCATCAAAGTGTTTAACTCTCTGAGAACGTCATTTTCTGCGTGTACAACAAAATGATTGAGCATCGCCCTTCTCGTGAGATTACCCAGTTCTACAAATCAAAATAGAGTAGTTAGGTCAATGAGCTCTGTTCGCATGAGGTTGATATGAAAGGACGTTGTAATCGAGGTTTTACTCTGCTAGTGTAGAAAATCTATGCTGAACAATTGGAAATTACTAATGCTTGTTTTGTCTTTGCTTGGAACTAGCAGCAATACTCATTTCATCTAAGGACATTCGTAAACAAGACCTTCCGGTTAATGGCTGAAAACTCTAGCTCTAGACTAGCAGTGTGATCCGCGAGATTCGGAAGAGATGACCAGAACATTGCTTCATGCCCTGAAAAAACAACAGTTGTGTGCTTGGCCAGTACATTGCTTCCCCATCCGCCCAACTTAGGACATTTTGGGTTGTTCACCTTCTTGGGGCTATCTGTACAATAAAACCTTCTACTTGTGAAAAAGATTAAAGTGCTTCGAATGGTGGCTCAGAATTTTAAAAACCAGTTAACTAAGGCTTTTTTGTGGTTCTAGTGTCCAAATGAACAATTTAATTGTGAGAGTTGTGAGGTAAGAAATGTCAAAGTGACTATCACAGTGCCCAAGTATTCTATTTTGTAAATCATGGGTTAGTCATTTTCGCATGGAACCATAGGCCTTTACTATTCCGAATCCATGTTTTCTGATCCCAGAAGAACAGCGGCATTTAACCGCTCAACTAGGGACCGATTCAATGTGCTTCTCCATTTTTTTCGCATGAAAGCTAACGCTCGTCTATGAATGCGATACAGTGATAATTAGCCTTGTTCTCTTCCTATTTGATTTCCAAGCCCCCTCTATGGCCGTCTATCAAAGAAAACTTTAGACGGTGAACATTCCTTGTGGATAAGCATAAATATGTAACCTTATCAAAAATGAAAATCGCTTGTCCCGATTTCTACATATTTTCTCTTACAATGTTTCGTGGACAGAACAAAACTCTGTTGTCTCTTTTTAAAACAACAAACAGGGTTCTTTTCTTTGAATCGATACCGAGCAAACAATTTTTCCATGTTTTTCCAAGCGTAATTTGCGTGCTTGATTTCCAATCTCTATAGGTGCTCAACTACTGTCCAAAAGATATGCAAGCGGATATTTCTGTGCACCTGAACCGGTGCGTGTTCAACAGTCATCCAGCCTTCAGGCTTGCTAGTGATGGCTGTCGACGATCGTTGGCCGTCCACTTCCAGACGTTGCACACCGCGCCCGGAGACTTGATATTTCACCAAGGTGAAAGCGTGGAGTATTTGTGCTTCATAGCATCTGGTTCGTTGGAAGTACTTCAGGATGATGAAGTGATTGCCCTCTTGGGTAAGGTGGTTTAGAACTTTTGAAATGTATTCAAAGAGTTGCGAAAATTTGTTCAAGCTTGATTAAATAGATTTTTATACAGATGTCCCAAAACGTATGGTAGCCTGTTTGAGATCAGCTGACACGGAAGTTTTGGAGGTACTAATCAAACAAAATAAAAAGACAAATACGTGGCAAACTAGTTCGTCGTTCTTCAGATGGAGTTGCATGATTGTTTAGATAGCCACTTATGTTTGCAACCTCTGGTAAAGAGAAACAAGACAAATTCGCGTTCTCTTCTGTTTATGTATGGCTTTTGCTACTCGGTTTTGTCTTGAATCACTGGGTTATTGCGCAGATAAGCTCCTCTACAAATGCATATTGCTGGTGAACATCGTTCCTTCCAGCAACATGGCAATGCGTTTGTCGGCTTGATGTGGTTATCCGGCAAGCACGCAGAAGCAATGGACATCATTGGTGTAATTTTAAGGAATTGGAATGGACTATTCTCTACTCAAATCGAATTGACTGAAAAAATTCCAAAGATATATTGCATTTTTTATATTTACTGGTATCAGAAAAGAGGATTTAGGAGAGTATAACATCCCGATGTCAATCAGGTTATGGGTTGATGCTTTGCATTATTGAATTATCTTTAGTTTGTACGTTTTTTTTGTGTTTTCTTAATTGCGTTTGAATAACCAGCGCCTAAAGTACCCCCTTGTGGGGGACCGTTTCTCAGTTTCGTTATGAAATAATGATGGGAAATCACCAACCGTGGTGTTGGATAATGACATGTGAAAGAAGTCCGGTTTTCACATTTCGCCAAAAAAAATACATTACTAGTAAAGAGAACGTCCCGAGTTTCAAATTTTCTTTTAGAGAAGGCAACTGAATTTTTTTGAGGTAAAAGATAGCATCAAACACTTGCATGGATTTTCAAATTTTGATATGATTCAACGCGTGTGCGTCCAATAACCGTCATAGACTTGTCCTCAAAACGGTTCACATCGTTGGCAACAAATCAACATTCTTATCTCTATTACGATGCGACCAATCACTGTCACTGAAATTCGTTAAGCCTTTATAGATTGCTCGTAACAGACCATCATTTTGCGCTCAAAAATATTTGGCAACCACGTTACGCCTGTCCTGGTCTATGTAAATGAGTGACCTTCAATCAGCCAGACCCATAAGAAGTCCTTGTCCTCATATGTTTCACTTCCTTCTATTGGCACCTCTTTACAAGTATTGCGAATAACAAAACTGTATGAAGCGGGTTCAGCTGATAATTTTTGTCTTCTTTGTCCTTACCTCAAATGCACGGAGGTGAGATACGCTTTTTAAGAGAGCGTGCTGTTGCTGTCCATAAATTGGGATGATGTTAACCGGAAACCCAACTGCATCTCTCGTTTATACTAGGCTTCAATTGAATGTGCCACTCAAAGGTCACGCCGTATTCCAGAAGGAATGATATTCATGATATAATTGTTTACTGGTTGATATAACAGCTTGGATGACTAACGAATACTTCTGAATTGCTCAGTACTACTCCTACTACTACCAGTCCCAATTTGTTTTGAAAATGAGGCTAACCCATCCCAAATCAGGTGAAACCGGTAGTAGTCTGTCAATGAGTATTCACCAGCCGACAATGAGCTGTATTAGTGGTATTGATTGTGCTTAGTTTGATTACCTCGGCTCTGGTTTTACGTCAACTCTTGTTAAGCAAGAACCTTGCGACGAGTTACGAAAATCCCAGAAATTCGCAACCTGCAAATTAACGTAATTTTGTTTGCTTCAGTCGGCACATGCTTCCATGCGGTTTGGATTCTTGCCTCTGTCTTTTTAATGGGGTCATTGCATTCGCCCTTAGACTGCTACTGATTGGCATCGTTTTATATCAAGCACACTGTATACTATTAACAAGATAACGTGGTATTATAAAAACTGTGGGTCCAGGTATCCAACATTAGGCATTCAGATCTGCGTGGCTAGTATGAACAAGGGAATGACTTCCAATAACTCGCACACGTATGGTTGTTAAATTCACTGGCTGGTTAATTTAATTTAACTAGGCTATGATTCTTTTATCCTGGAAAAATTTCGCCCAAAATGCAAGGGTCTTGAGGCACACCAAAGTCTTCCAAACATATGCATCAACCTTTCAAAACCAGGATGTTAGGTGCTTTCTTCCGCCAACTGTCTCACCCTATGCTGTCACCTCACACCACAACATGGTGGGATTAAAATAAATAATAAATAAAATAAAAGTAAATAAATAAATAAGCGTTGGAAGCTGTTATCTAGGTTTCCGTGCAAGTAGCAAGTCTACTGTTGAAGTAGACGGATGTTTAGTGCGTAACCTGGCGAGTGCTGCATGATAGACGCCTACTCCCATTTCGGTGAAATATTGTATACGGAAAAGCTTGAAACCAGAAGACAACCTTCAGATAATGGGGACCTACTGAAGTACCACTGGTTTGACACAGTAGCACGTCAAACTTATGTAACCAGATACTCGATAAATGCTTGTATCATTCCTTAGGAAGTCAGTGAACTTGAACATTCACAGAGATGTAGATATTGTTCAATAAACCGCTTATGTTAAGCTATCTGCTGCAGTATGAACCTAAACAGGAAAGTGCATTTACGCGACATGATAAGAACATACGCAGTAACCTGGCATGGAATGACCGAGATTGATTCAGATGGTGGACATGATTTTGTGTGGTTCAAATTTTACAGTACAAGCTACCAAATCAGGGAAAATAATCAGTGAGGCAGTCAAGTGTAGTAGTCATCCCGTCAGAAAATGCAACTGACATTCTAAAATACCTGTGCATTTTCTGCCAAATGGTGTAAATTAATGAGCTGTCAAAATTATACAAGCCTTTGGTTTTATCGATTTTATTTTGATAAAAAGGAACACACTAATTTTGAGTGAAACATTCGGCCGACAGAATAATCTAATTGTTTACTAATCTGGATCAAGTAGAACAAATCATTGGTCACTGACGAAATTATTTTCCTAGCCGATTGTACAATCGTGGTTTTTGTCTGAAACAAAGAGGCTATGTGAGTAGTCGAAGTAAAAAACTATGATGAGGTTGAATTTCGATGAGTTGCGCGGGGGTGCTGAAGATAAGAGAGAAAACGACGACAGTAAAATGGTTCGAGTGCTCTCAGATCAGCCGTTGATTGATAAAGATGATTATGTTTTATGAAGATTAGTTAAAACTGTCTGCCAACAAGAGACCAATAAAACTCCTGACAGCAATGTCTGGTATCAACTATCCGACTTTAACCACGGCGCCATGGAAGCCGTTCGATGTTTTTTCGTCAAACGGTTACGGTGCATCTCGCGACGACACAAAATTCAGGATGAATAACTTTCTGGCAGCCTAGAAATGCAACCAGAAGGTATATAAGTCAGCACAATGGAAAAATGATGACGTCATGTCATCTCTCGGTGAGAGTTAATTTAAATACCAACCAGCCACTGGTGGCTTATTTGCTAAGCTCTCAGCCAATAAACAATCCCATACAGGTTTGTGAGATGCACCATGTCTAGACAATTTAACAAAACCTGCTCATTTGTAAGTACACTTTGGGCTTCCGAACTCCATGCTTATAATAATAGAGCCGAAATGAAGTCACAGACCTATCTCGCTTCAGCGTAACAACCATATGTGATAGAATGCACTTATTTTTCAGGGTGAAACGCACACATAACAGAAAGTCCTTCAAATACATCAACGTGTATTTGGTAAAAAATCAAACTTTGTTTGTGATTTTTTCCCGAAAAGAAACAAATCCGAATGTAAACTGAACAAAGGCCGTTAAACTAAACTACAAATTCGTGATATACATGATCATACTGACTAGTAATAAGTTGATTCTTCCTCATCTCAGATATGCTGCCAAGAGGACTGCTTGTGTCGCGTTCTGATTGTTTATCTTCATTTCTTGCGTGGAGCTTCGAATTACAAACAGTTTTTACCGGCAGTGTCTTACTACATTTGTGAGTACTATTCGAAACACATCCGTACAAATGCCTCCTCTTCTTCACTCACTCGTTGCCAAATGAAAGTCAGGCTGAGTTTCATTTACCGTTTTACACATTTCTCCGGGGAAGTAAAAGGAGTTTTTCTCGCCATGAAAGATATTGTGTGCAAAGTGGACGTTAACTGGAGAAATACACTCATTAGCAAATCAATTTTTAATCTCTCGTGTATGATATTCTACAACTCAATGTGCTGTACACAGGCTGCCTCATTATTCAGTTGGCACGATATTCGAGATATCGCGGTATATTTTCATAAGAGAAACTATTCACAAGTTTGCTGAAAACTCTTCGGCCGTCCACGATCGGTTGCGCCCTTCCTGGGCTCATCAAGTAGGCGCAGTCCCGAGTTTCCGTCAACCTTATGTTCTACTTGAACCCAAGTTGGATTGTTTTCGAGGACTACACTCGTTTGAAAATCAATTTGGTTTTCACGATAGACTTAACTGAATCCCTCGTTTGTGATGTTCTACTCGGGGACTGAGCCTACCTGATGAGCCCCAAGAGGGGTGAAACTGGTCGTGGGCTGTCAAAGAGTTTACAGCAAGCTTGTGAGTAGTTTCCTTCATGGACGTTAACTCGTTTTTGTAGTCTAAAGATCGTCAACTCCATTGACACGCACGTAAAGATTCGGTTCTGTCTAAATAAGCGACAAATACTATGGCACTGAAAAAAACACTACCCTTTATTGTGCTTTTGGTCGACTGGTGCGATAAACACATGATGATTTTCTTGTTGTAGGTAAAGGCGACGTCTTTGGTGATCCGTGCTGGAGGACGACCTCTTCAATCCCATCAGCTGCTAGCGTCCGGGCTCTTACCTATTGTACTCTACACACCATTCGGCTGGAACGACTACGCGCCGTACTGCAATTTTACCATGCATTTGCTAACAGTTTTACGAGGAATTTGGAAGTAAATTACAATCTGTGTAACAGAGTAAGTACCTTTTAAACACTCCTTCATTAATTAACTGAGATTCATATCTTTGCGTTAGAAGCGACCAAATTAAGCTATTTGCAAAATGCGCTCATTTTTAATCGATTCTTTTTACGCACTAGTATAATTCCCCCTTTTACAAACTACTTCAAATGAGTGTGCTGCACAAGGGCAGCTGCATGTTACATAAGGTTGTTGAAGAGTTCTCAGCAACCATATGAGTAGCCTTCTTTAAGGACAAATAAGCTGTATATTTTGCCACCATACAGTAGACAGGTATTGGAGTTTACCTAGAAATATTTTTGTCAAAGTGATACTACCGAGAACGTAGCCATGGTGCACAACAGCTCAATTGGAAAACTCACAACTTTCTACCTCATCTAAACGGTCACTGCTTTAATAAGGCGTCACTTCAAACCACTGTCTATCTGCCTGTTTTCATTATATTGAACACCCTAGTGATCACAGATCCATAGCCCGCTTGCTAAGACCATACACCGAAATTTTTCTGCTCATTTTTTGTGCTAAGGGCGTGTCGTATGCGCTTAATGCGCAAGCTGGCTTCTTTTGGTTATCTCAGTTTGTTGTACTTTGTAATTTCGAAAAGCTGGCCTCTCACTAGAATGGTTTTGCTTAAGCCATAGGAAACGATTCAGCATGTTGGGTCACTACGTTGCTACTCAATATACACGAGGAATATCTTATTATCCAAAATTACAAGACGGGGTCATCCGATTGCGTAAACAAATGAGCATCGTGGTAGCGAGTATCTTTCGCCTCATCACTTGGCTACTGGGAATTCACCAGTAGTGTAGAGGTAGTGCCTACACAGATTCCTGGAATAAATTGCACACCAACTGGATCTGCACCACTTCTGGAAGAGCAACATCATGGGAAGCAGTCTTTGAGGGGGACGACTTTCATTTGGTCCTCAAAAATGTGGCTCTCTACTCAGATTCCATTCAGAGCACTCTATCTCGCAAAAGATTCAACTGGTGCCTTACATATCCCATCTGTTTGGACTTTTGGTGAATATTCCTTGATTACGTGTTCGAAATGGTTAGTCTTTTGTGGAGTAATCAAAATCGTCCATTAGCTTTCACTTAGCCATTGCATGGTGCTGTGTGTTTTAACGTGGCGTGAAGTAGAACTTTTTAACACCGGTCGAAATATGTTCCGTGACACTAAACGCTGGTGTTGAATATGCTTATAAGGCATAAAGGTAAATCGAACCAGATAGATAGGGGACATTTATTACATATTCTTTTCTTCTTAAATGGTGCAACCTCCGCCAGGGTCGACGTGACCCTGTTCTGTAAACACGACCTTCGGAAAAATCGGCTGAATGCCAGATCTACTGAAAATCTCAGCAATTTGCCCATTCTGCTACCTAAAACACAGTACCCAAGTTTTAAACTGATCCTGTTTTGCATTTATATACCAAGATGTTCAAACGCCGAACCTAACTTTACTGGTGAACTTGATGTATATTCCTCCCATGAACAAGTGAGCTTGACAAACGACTAGCTACACATTGCAGCGGTGATTCCCTTGTCCGTTCGAAGCAAACTTGTAAAAATACACTGTAGTTTAGATTCAGTTGCCCCAGTTTCTCTGGACAATGGTAAAACTACTTTGAAGTTTTGGTGAGCTCAGTCGCTTGGTTGTGGCTCAATTGTCAAACCGTTCCCTCATCCGTGATTATACCCATCTCCAACCGATCACAATAGTTGTTCGTCTTGCTCACAAACGTCATAGGGCATCACTGAACTAACACGGTGCTGTTAAACATAATATGCAAAGGCGTTACAGTATCCTTCAAAAATAATAAACTACAAAACCCATCCTTTATTGGCCCCTAAACTCGCCGATGGTCGTCACAACACGCAAAAAATTCGATGCCAGTAACGACTGGATATGTAGCTTCAAAAAAAGACCAAAAACCGTTTTCGGTAATGAATAATGATTTCAAAACACATATGGTAACGGTCTCTGAAAAGTGTGCATTAATTGTGACTACTTTTGAGTCAGCTCATTAGACTCGAAAGTGTAACCGCCGTTAATATTCGAAAAGTGTTATTCAGAGTAACAAAAGGCCACGTCTAGTGACCACTTCCAGGCAGCTTCCACTTGAATAATAATCTCCACCCCAACACCCCACCGATGACTAAATGACTGGATATACGCCAGAAAGATGGTTGAGATAGTTTGATAACGATATGCCATTCAACAGCAGGAATGATGCACAAATTTTTAACAAACTGTGGGTGAATTATCAGGTTACATTGATAAATGCAGAGTCAACTATTTTGTAGCAGTGTCACGCAAAGCTGAAAGTCACCATGGAAATCGATTTTGTTTCACAAAAGTTGATTACAAACAAATCCTACCTGACGTTTTAGGACATGGTCTGAAGGCTACATTACCAGAAGTAGTAAGTTCTGCGATCGTGACAAACAGATTAATATTCCTGTGCTGGGAATTTAGGCTGGTTCCGCCCAGTCCACCATCACACATGACCCTGAAATGAAAGGTAATCCCACGAGTTTTAAACTAATTTTAACAAAACACGTTATGTCAATTGAACTAGACGTCAACATCGATATTTGAGGGGATCTAATATCATGATATTCCTTCAATAGCTGAAGTATCGAAGGATGATCACTCAAAAACTTTAACATGGGATTGGGTAAAGAGTGGCGAACAACTGATTCCAAGTCTACGAAAATGGCTATTTATAAAAAGCAACGTGTTTACCCTGTCCTATTCTTGTGCAGCATACTGGAACTGCCTGGGCGCTTTAGCAAACTCAGTGACCCTTCTCTGTCTTCTGTCCGGTCAATCCTCTGGTTAATTCATTGGTGTGCCACCTTCTGACCATTTTTGCTACGCCTATTCATCTAACATTTACTGTCTTTATTTGCAAATCTGTGAGTGCCTAAAGTATGGGAAGTGGAAGTCATTCCGTCCCCGCTTAGTTAATGGCTTGGAATATCCCAGCGAAAGATTTTTTCTTTTTGCAAAGTGTTCATTGCGATTGCTCGGTTTTATATCACGATAGTGAAATCAGGTAAAGTTCCGTTACCTATGCTGAATGTCAAAAAGTACATCGCACACTTCCCATGCCCAGCTAACCGTATGCCCGCCCAACTTGTAACTTGGTTTCAACCTAAAAAATATTTCTCCCACACTGCTTTTTAGATTATATTCCGAAAGCTTGCAGACGTTAAACGGGAGATGGAGCTTTCCATGCGACAGAATAAAGAGCCTCCTCTAAGCAGCTTACCAGCAGGTCATCCTGTTCGGAAACTAATTTCTCGTCTTCGCCGACCGAGCCAAAATTTAGGCACAATTATGTCCGGAGACAGCTCATTGGAGGGATCTGACCTAGAGAGTATATCGGGCTGTGTGCAGCCGGAAAACCAAAGACCAAGAATGTCTCTAGCGAATGTAGCCCGTGGACTTGTCGCTAAAACAGATAGTGACACTCAGGCTCCGAGTAGCCACGCAACCACATCGACTTTGTTGAGCTCCATAAATGAACGTGTCTCAAATCAAAGTATGACTACTGAACCTCAAACTGTAACAGGCGCTCCCCTTATGGACAACACTACGGGCGCCGGAGGTACTCCCAGTGCAACTGCAACCCAACCTAATCCAGCGCGTAAATGGGCTCGTCTTATTTCGAAGTAAGTTATATGGAAAAGTCTGTAGGCTTGACAGCACACAAAATGTCCTCGTTCAGAACCAAGGTAGACTCCACTAGTGTATTGTGAGGATATGAGGCCGCACAATGATTAATATATTGAGGATTTTGCAGATACACTTTTCAGGGTTTTGCCATGTATTTTGGTTTCATTTTATTTACAGAATGAACCTTAGCGTTCTGTGAGATGTTCACCGCAGAGGGTCCTCGGGAAAGATAGAACGGCTATGCAGTTCTACTTGGCTTTTAAGCATAGATTTGCTTTACCCACAGGATAAAATCTCAACTGAAATGTCTGCGGTCTGCTATCAGCGTTTATAGGGTTTAGAAGAACCTAATAATACCCCAAAATAATTCAGTTGAGTTTAGTACCTATATAGTTTCGAAGTAGTTATATGGAAAAGTCTGTAGGCTTGACAGCACACAAAATGTCCTCGTTCAGAACCAAGGTAGACTCCACTAGTGTATTGTGAGGATATGAGGCCGCACAATGATTAATATATTGAGGATTTTGCAGATACACTTTTCAGGGTTTTGCCATGTATTTTGGTTTCATTTTATTTACAGAATGAACCTTAGCGTTCTGTGAGATGTTCACCGCAGAGGGTCCTCGGGAAAGATAGAACGGCTATGCAGTTCTACTTGGCTTTTAAGCATAGATTTGCTTTACCCACAGGATAAAATCTCAACTGAAATGTCTGCGGTCTGCTATCAGCGTTTATAGGGTTTAGAAGAACCTAATAATACCCCAAAATAATTCAGTTGAGTTTAGTACCTATATAGGTGAAGCGTAGTGGCCGTTCGTGTGCACCATCGGCTACGGTGATCCGCTCAAGTAGCGCACACCCTGGAGATCGGTTAGATCTTGCTCTCCTTGGAGGCTCAATCACTTGCGGGCGTCTTATGTAGGTTTGTATCACGTACTAGGTGACTCCCGGGTCCTAATTCTAGGTTGTGCTCTAAATGTGTAACCTAAGACAAGAAGAGAAATTTAACCTAGCCAGATTAGCTTATTATATAAGCAACGCAATTACTAAAAAGTAAATAACTTTCTATTTCGTTTGATCAAATCGTCCAGTCGACAAAACAAACCTCCAAAGACAATTGGACCGTGGAAACTTTTTATCTTCGAATAACACGCTGATTTATCCATATCGAGGTTTATGAAATACCTGTCTTTCTTTCCTTCAATAAAAGCTGCAAATACTCCTTGATAAGAAAAAGATCAATATTTAGTCTTGCATTTCCCATATTGCCGTATAGGTATCCTTTTTTTGGGGTCAAGTCTATAGTAAACACACGAATAGTCAGGGTCGTAAACGTCCTTCTTCTGTAGCTTCTTCCATAATTCCGTCCACAGTTTTTCTTAGAATCTTGGTGGTTTTCTTCATAAAGGCATGAAAATTATAGGAAGTCTTTCCGGAAATTATTAAAACGACGCTGTTTCCCCAAATACCGATTTCTTAGTTTCCGCGTCAGCTCGAATCGCTTTTGTTCTCAGTACAACCAAATATGATCACCGTATTTTCGTCGTTGAAAGTCTTGTAGTTTGATGAAAAGGTTGATCCGACTACATTTCGTGCTCTGTTTATCAAAACACTTGCCCGGTGTAATACTGATAATTTGGCACAGATACCAGTAGCATGAATGTACTCATTCTATCTAGATCCCGCTGAGTTAGACGCCGAAACCCAAAAAAAACGAGCCGTCCAAATGAAGGTTTGACGACAAATACCGTACTATGAAAACAAAAGCAAAATGACTAACCTCGAATAATGAAGGTATTCCGGCTCCCATACACTGTGTCAAGATGCGCTTATTCCAGACGAGATCCTGTTAGGTTCAAACACAGGGTTAAGCAGTCGGTCCATGTTCTATATTCTGCCCTCGGTGCCCGTAGGCTTATTCCAGATATTGCGTTTCTGAAGCTGTGCGTCACCATCGCCCGTTATTGGGAAGACAGCCGTAAAGCATGGATCCAGAAACAGACAATACCACGAATAAAAAGATATCTAAGACGTATGTCTCGTCTATGTTTCCTCATAAGGAAACGTATATTGTGCTGACATTCATCCACAGCACAAAAATGTTCATTTAATTTGCAATTAAGTGAATGCTCCTAGTAGAATCAGATGAATGAGGTATACAATTTTCGCCTGTGTGACTAAGTTTGTTCCAATACACCTGAGAAAGAATTTTTCGATTTCTCATTATCCTTCCACCGAGAGAAGTAAACTAATTGGGCCGACCAAGGAGGCCAGGTGAAGTTTAGGAATCGAGGACTATATTTAGATATATTATCATCTGATATATATGATTATTTTGTACATTATGTATATGTGCATACATTTTTCAGTGTTAGCTCAAGTTTGACACGTGTTGCTCGTATCACACCTGAGATACTATGGGGTTTCCTGGAATGTGTCCTTCAACTTTTGGTTCATTTTTGCACTACTTGTTGCTTGTTTTCCAAGTTAATAAGCGATTTGCGTGTGAGCAAACCCTGATTGATGGTGTTCATTTTGTGGATTGAAGGTGAATCAGCCAGTCAGAATGTTTGCTTGTGTTCGCATCACATACCTCCAAACTGACGGAACCCACGTTTCTATCGTTCACTCATCCCCAAAATCTGAGATGGCGAATTCTAATAGTGTTCCTACACTAAACTTCATAACATACTTGCTAGTTTATGAATATTTTCACCTGTCTCCTTCCACAGAGCAACACAACCCCGGGTACCAAACACAAATACGGACGCTGTTGACACCAGTCTGCAAGCCTCATCGGTACCAGCAGACAATAAACCCATGGTTAAAGCAGTACCAGTAACAACCGTGGCTGACACCCACGTGCCTCAATTTCAATTGGCCGTTGTTCCACCTGCATCTCAAGAAAGTGCAGCTGGGATCAACTGTCCAAAAACCGCAGCAACTGTGATGGTCAGCGATGCGGCAATAAAACAGCTGGGTCAGGCATTACAAAAAGCACTTGGAGAAATCCACAAGGACTTATCTTCGCAACTCGTTGACGTTTTAAGCCGAATCAACAATCTAGAAACCCAAGTTGGCACAATACAAAACCGTCTTGCAGAAAATGATCGAAAGAAAGACAGGCACTCAAGATCACAAATGAAAAAAGAACCACAAAGTAGCAACCCACCCATTTCACACTCTAAGATTACTAGCTCCAAGTCAGTGGAACCAGAGTAAATGTTACCTCATTGTACAAGCAAATCTACCCCAGATTCTGCTTTCTTATATTTTCTACCTGTTTGGTAGCCTAGTTTTCAGCCTCATTTGTTTTAGGACTACAATGGTATGCTCTTATTTACACATGAATGACATTAACGCATACAATCGTCCAAAGTGTCAATCCGCTGTTGATCTGAATGACTGTTTCTCTCTGTGCCGCACTCCTGCAAACGCATGTTAGCGTTTTTTTCTATGCCTGTTAAGGGAAATTTTGCACATCAGCTGATTTGATTATGGTGATCTGCTTCATACTGAGAAAGCGCATGTTGGTCTAGTCAGGGCGCTTCCACACAATACATGACTTCTCCAACAATTTGACTCATATAAATGCAATCTGTATTTTTGTCCCTCTGTGGGAGGTACAACAATCTCCTGGTAATGAAGCACCGTCGGGGCTACCGAGGTTTCTGTTGATGGGCTGCTCCTAAAGAAAAGGGGGAACAATGCGGACCCATTCTTGTCCTTCAATCACAACTCAGCTTTTGCGGATAGTTTTAGCAGCCCTTTCAAGGGGCAGACACAAAGAAAAATAAGAACGAAGTGAATGTACCGGTTGTTTAGCCTAAAGCGAACCCATAACAGACTCGCCAGATTAAACGTAGGTTTGCAGATTATTTCTTAAAATTTACTATGAAGCAGAGAGAGTGGGACGCAGGCACAGGTGAGCCAATCGTTACGTAAACTAATCGAAAGGAATTGTCGGTTCAGCCCATACGATGAAATGTCATTTTACATCTGTCTGATTATATTTTGTAGTTAGTGGCATTCTCGTGTGAAGGTGCGGTGAAGTCCACTCTGGACTAAACACGTGGGGAAACGTCTTTCCTGACCGAAACTTCCTGTGAAAATGATTACGTTATAGCAACAGTTAAAAAAGGCATGAGAAATCGTCATCTGGAGTTATTGTGAAACTAAAATGAAAGTGCTAGTGAGCTTTAAAAAGGTATAAAACAGGCCAAATTTGGGGACAAAACAGCTATGACGATGGAGGCGAAAACAGTGGTTGATATGAAATGTAGTCCGCCTGGATTGTTTTTAGTTTCACCCCACCAAAAAAAACCGAACAGAAAACTAACTATTCCCGAACACAGGTTCATTCTGAGTCAGCGAATATCTTCAATCTCCATTAACACAGGAATGCTAGATTATTCCGGAACTCCTTAACCAGATGTGAGGCGCACGCACGAGGAATGAAAAGTATCAGACTGCGCTCAAACTATCATTTCTTATTACCGGACGATTTTCCTATCAAGTGAGCTCTGGGATCAAGCTTATTTTTTCTGCAATTATTTTGAGATCTAAATAAAATGGCTTATGTTTACTACGATGATAAAACGTATCAGGGTACCCATTCTGACGATCTTTTAATCCACATCCAAGTTCAAGTCTGAATATGCATTCTATACGGTAATGGTTTTTCTCGCCAGTCCGACAACCTTCGTTAGCTCAAGCATTACACACTGAAGCAGCTGAGACGGTCAGTTTTGGTGCCCATAGTTCTTGGGTAGATGCAGTAATAAAAATGAGTGCGAAATGGTTCTCAACGAAAACGGAATTTACGATCGCTTTTGGTAAAAGTGAAGCTGAAGAGTGTTGATTAAGTTCCTGTGTGTGCCCATGGTAGGTAGCATTTTAATTGCTTGTTCAGTGCGAATGGAAAGCGCAACCAGGTGTTAAACACGCGAGTGTGAACAAATCTATGATAGCGATCGCAACCTACAGAACCGAGAGTTTTAATGACCAAAATGTGCAAAGGAAAAATTTTGCAGTTAAACATCAAATAAAAACATCAATGTATTAAAACACTTAAAAAGTACGGGACCTTCTGGACTTTCCGTGTGCTGAACAATTAGCACCCCGTCAATTTTTGCTTGCGATCAGCAAATCTGAGCTGTGCCGTATGATTATTTTCACTTCCATCCTAAATGAGATTCCTTTTTTGGTGAGGTTGAATTGTGAGCAGGACAAAAGGTAGGATGTGTTAAAATGGCTGCTTCGTTTGCATTTTTCGAGCATAGGCGTTGGTCTGTAACTGACAGATGTGATGGTTGCATTTCAGTTTGAAATTCAGCTCTACCTAGCTGTGTTAGAAATATGCGCGATCAAGGCACAGTCGATCGAGAAAAAATTCCTCTTCCAGGTGATGAGGAGAAGGATGAAGTTCGTGACAGTTAACTGACTTGGAGTTAGCATAGTAACCAAAAACGGGAATTAATAGAAATCTTTGAAATTCCAAGAAAAACAGCTGCACGTTCGCTATTGTGAATACGCAGAAACAGTCGTTTGGAATGCTTGACGATGATGGACTTTAGTCTGAAGTGTACCTTCAGTCAACCTGATGCCCTCTATTGTTGTTTGGGAGAGTTCTTCTTTTTTAGTCACCAACTACTATTCCGAGAGCCCATCCGGAAAGCCCAATAAACCCACATAAATAATCGCCGATAAATTTCTTTAACGTTTGAGGTTCACCTTCGTTTTGTGACATCCTGGTGAACTAGCTCAATGTCTTGCAATTCAGTAGTCACATTCAGTAAATAACTGGCATCCATGTGCCCAAGATGAAATGACTTTAGAAAAGAAATGATGCATGCAGCCCACAAAAGCCACAGAAGTCTCTGTTAGGCAAGTTCCAATGGGAAACCGGAAGTAGCCCGGCACTTTCATCAACCTTACCGAACACTATCAGCACGGAAACCGAAAAGGCCTCATTCTATCTCCCTAAATTGTGCCCTCCGAAGAGCTCATTACCCCTTCAAACTGCCCCGCCGAAATTATACAGAAACCCCACATATCACCTTCACTCAGCAAGAAAACATCGTGCTTTGGTAAGCTTGTTGAAAAAACTATTGCCTGAAACAAACAGATACTCTAAGTTCGTGTGTGGAAACTAGCCAATTAGGGAGACAAAATCCGGTGTATTGCGCTGTTTCCAAACCTCAATTAAAACAAGCGCAGAGTTAAAAAGACTATTATTCGCCCGAGAACCAAGCAACCACCCATAGTTCTGGTCGGCGTTTTATTTTCAAACTCATAGTGCGACGTCAAACTTGATTGGCTTTCATGTTACTCTTATTCTCCAAATTACTGTGATCAGGTGCGATCATTTCTGCCAACTTGACTTGTCACAGGGACTTCATTTTATCACAGAACATGTGGTCGGGCGGTGGAATAGGTATGACACTTGGTTGTTTCAAGGAATTAAAACGCTCAACCACAAAAAGGTTGACATCTGTTTGAGAAATGTGGAAGAATTGAGTCAGGTTTGGACCCAACGCAAACTGTCACAGATCTGAAAGGGAACCGAGTGGCTGGATAACTACGTATTCTTGCGAGAATTAACGCAGGAAGATAAGTCACATGTGTTGTGTGTGTGATTTTTATCAGCTCATCGGTTGCTTACGGATGTTCAGGACACAGTATATATTCGGAGCCATGTGGGGCGTAACTTCACTGGTAACAAATTTAGGATACCAGCTTGCAAGAACCAAAGCTGTTCAAGCAACAATTTTGATATAAACGCATTGCACTTTACTTAAAGGGCAATACTGGCTCAGAGGAAAAGGATTTTCAACTTTCTACTCTTTGAGAGTGGGGCTGCAATTTGCCAGAACGACTGAAAACTATGCACATACGCATACGTGAACGAAATCAACTGTTCATTCACGTAAGCGAGTGACCGAAATGCAGTATGCCAAACTGAAGGCACAACCAGGTGGTGAGTATTTTACTACATAGTTGAGTCTAACTGAGAGTTTCGTAGTTGACAATTTTGTGAACGTTGAACAAAGCTTCAGAATCCCGTCTCCGAAAGCTTCCAGCGAAATAGAACTACAGTGATCTTCTAGTCGACCAATATACTTTACTTCTCGGTCGACCTGTCTCAGGCCTTGAATTCGCTCCGTCCTGGGTCACATGCGATTTTTCAAACGTAAAAGCCTGGTAAAATGCAAGGCCATATTGACAGACTGACTGAATAACATGAATGTGCCTTCCACCGATTGCTTGCACTATTCAGTTGTTGCTGCAGTTCACAATAAAAGTACATTTGTAACCCCTCTGTCAATCGGTACACCAATTTCACGGCAGGAAACAGGCACCTTGGCTCGTTCTTATCGCGACCTTCCAGTAACGGGTGAAAACGGTGACCAAGGAATAGGCTGGAAAATGCAAGCCATATTGACAGACTGACTGAATAACATGAATGTGCCTTCCACCGATTGCTTGCACTATTCAGTTGTTGCTGCAGTTCACAATAAAAGTACATTTGTAACCCCTCTGTCAATCGGTACACCAATTTCACGGCAGGAAACAGGCACCTTGGCTCGTTCTTATCGCGACCTTCCAGTAACGGGTGAAAACGGTGACCAAGGAATAGGCTGGCAGCAATGTTCTACACTTCGTAGGTTTTAAACACTGTGGACAGTGGCCTGCTATCCAGAATGAGGTGCGAGGGGAACGATGTTTTTATCATTGCTGCGTAATACAGTTGAGCTTAATTTCAGAGTAAATTTCATACTCAGTTGGCACGAATGTTTGATAAAATTTGAACCAAAAGTAGTACTGCTACCAATATCACCGTCTTGGGCATAGCTTCCAGCTTGATTTGATTTCATTCCCACGCTCAGTTTTAACTTTTTACCTGAATCGGTTTGCAAACTACTATTAAAAAGTGAGATTAGACGAACAAGAAGTCAATAGACTAAACCTAGAATAAACTAAATTTGGATAAACCTACTCAGCGAAGCAGAAACGGACTGCTCCTATGGCGATTTCAGTGCGAAGTTCCGACTGGTGTTTTTCCTTAATGGATCTTATAACAAATCAATAAATTAATTCACCTTAGATTTCTGCTGGAAGATCCAAGGGGGTACTCTTTATTGAGAGTACCACTGCAGGTCCTACAGCAGTGTGCCTGTTTTAGAGGCTCAGCAAAAATTATGTTAGCTGTACTAATCGCG